TTAATAATATTTCTTAATTTATTAATTTCAACAGTGTTGTCAATGATTTATGGATTTAAATTACCATGTAATATGTTAACGAAAATATATAATGTCATTATATTTTTGTGACGTTTACAAAATAATATTTTTTAGGACGCTGTTACAAAGTTACGTCATTTTGACTTTGCCGACCTGTTATTCTAATCAAGAAAATAATTAACTTGAAAATAATCAAATTCATTAGTTATTATAAATGATTCTCCAAAATGAATTTCAATGCGTCAGCTTTTGCTGCAGTTGGCATAACTTCATGATCTGAGGAAACTCGTTGACTTTAACCATTTAATACGTAAGAGACGTTATGATTGTTAATTAAGAAAATAAAAACACGGATATAACCAAGAATCAGCGACACACAAAAGGAAAATTATATTTATTATTGACACAAAGATCGAACAAACGAAGAAAAAATCCTTCGATCTCATTGGACTCGACCCAGCGTCAATTACCTCGACGTGGCTACCGGTCTTTCCAACTAATCTCAATAGCAGTAACTGTAGAGCTCCTTGTGAGAGTTCGTCCATGGAAATGTTGCCACTTGAGCTATTTCTACAGCCAAATAGTAATGTGAGCATTTCTGAGTCCCGGTTTTAAAACCGGGACTCAGAAGGGGTGCTGGTGAAATTATACTGCACTTGTCAACTTATGTCTCAGGGTGACGGGCGCAGTGGCTGTGTCCCTCCGATCTTTGCGGCTTAAAGCTCTGAGTGGTACTGCAACTGTTATGAACAGGCGTGTCGCTTACCACCAGTCCCACGACTTGTTCGTCCCGTCCATTGGTATTATAAAAAAAAGAAAGCTATGGATCGAGCCAGCAGATCTTACAAATTTCCTGATGTATTTGTTGCAGATCTTGGGTCTAAACTACTTTTTTTGCACTAACGCCACCTGTGAGAACTTATAAAAGTTTCTTCACTCAGCCAAGTACCTTTACAGCTAACGAAAGGTTTGATCTGTTGCTTAGCTGGTAAAAGCGGTAGCCACATTGAGGCGACAGAAGAGATGATTCCTGTCGAATTGAAGGAATTCTTTATGTGTTTTTTTAATGCACACACTCATAGCTCCGTAGTAGGGAAACCCTGTGTCGTGAGTGCCATTGACACACACACACAGACAACCACAAATTACAGCCAAACTAACTCGAAGATCAAAAGAAGGCCATACAAATGTTTCTCCCGGCCCGGGAATTGAAATCGACCTCTGCGTGGCAGACCACGATGGTAACCGTTCAGTCACGGAGGCAGTTGATCCTTGTATCAATAATGTCAAAGTCAACGTCAAATAATCATTTATTCCATAGGTAAAATTTTGACACTTGAAAACGTAATTTTTTAAACTACTGCTCGTTCACTGCACTGACCTCCCTGAGAAGAACAAGCAAGAGACTCTTGGGATTGCTCTTTTCAAATAAACTTAAATGCTATAGAATACATTTTGAATCATATTTGTGTGGAATCTGGATTCTCGTAGTCTTTCCATACATCTTTATCTAACACGTAGTCTACAATTTTATAATATGACTTTTCAATTAAAATACTTTTAATGTAAGTTTTAAACTTAGGAAATGGTAAAGTTAATATATGCTCCGGAGTCTTATTGTAAAAACGTATACAGTTCCCCATAAAAGAATCGTTTACCTTAGTTAAACGAAAACGTGGTACCATGAGTTTGGACATAGTTCTAAGGTAAATATTATGGATATCGTCTTTCTTAACGAAGTTATGTATATTTTTACGGACATACAAAATATATGAGTAAATGTACTGTGATGCCACAGTTATGATACCAGTCTCCCTAAACTTTTCTCTGAGAAATCCGAGTACCTAAACAGTACATAGAACGAATCGTTCGTTTTTGCAACACAAATACGGTTTGTATATCAGCCGCTTTACCCCACATGAGTATCCCGTAGGACATTATACTATGGAAGTAACTAAAGTAAACTAGTCTAGCAGTAGCAACATCGGTAAGTTCACGTATTCTACGGACTGCGTATGCAGCAGAGCTTAATCTGTTAAATGTTATTAAACTACTGGAATATTTTCACAAATAAATAGGTGTGGAAAATACTGCCCTTTTACCATAACTAACGCAATTTTGAGTTTTGGAACTTTCCAGGATTTTGGCCAGCATTTCATAGCTTTTTTTTTAATTAATCTTGTACGTCCCACTGCTGGGCAAAGTCTCCCCAAAAATCCTCCATTGCTCCCTGTCTTTGGCAATCTTGCACCACTCCCTCTCAAGCCCATCAAGATCGGCGGGGACGGCCGAGAAGGCGCAGGGGGGCTAAGGGCATTATAGCCCAATCTGAATTAGCGAAATAATTTAACCATGACCATGGGAATGGGACCTGTAAAGGGCCCCAAACGTTGGTTTGTTTGAAAAAAAAAAACAGATATACGCGGTTTAAATCCGGAAAAATACTTTCGTTTCCTATGAAATAATTGAATTTTTATTTTTTGGTCATTTTATCTTACGTAATGAGCCCTCATGAGCCCTCTTTTTACCATCCAGACGTATATCATCCCCAAAAAAGAACATTGTAAGGGCCTTTAGCATCGATTACTTGATTGATAGTGATTATTCGTAGTGTCTAATTTAAAAAGATGTAACAAATTCTGGACAGTCAATATAATTTAAACTGTACCCGGTTGGCATATCGTTGAAAGTTCAACACCTATTATTGCAAATTATTAAGTTTTTGATTTCATAATTGTAATTTCATTCAATCTAGCTGCTTTTTGTCTCCGTCTCACCTGATGGAAAGTGACGATGGAGCTTGCACACCTAAATAATGCCTATTCACTCTCGCCTTGAAAAGACCCAAGTTATAACGTTCAAAGAACAAGTCTGCATGCAGGGAATTCCACTCCATAGCCGTTCATAAATGTGGAAGCGTAACGCTTCGTGCGAATCTTTGGAATATCCACAAAGTAGGGGTGGAATCCAAGCCTACGCCTAGTCCCCCGGTAATGGAAAGGGGAAGGCGGAATTAAATCGTGTAATTCCATCGCACACTCTCCGTGATATATCCTATAAAATACCAATAAGCAGGCAACTTTACGGCGGTGTTCAAGGCTTTGCAGTTTCGCCTCCATTAACTCCGAGATGTAATAGCTAAAAGATGAACGATTAACGCCTATTGACGTTCTCCAAAAATAAATCGACGATTAATGCAGCGGTATGAGATTTACTTTCGTCTCTATACAAAAAATTTATTACAAAAAACAGAAAATGGAAAAAATTATTACAATAAAATAAGATTTAACGATGATACGAAACACCACCATGGATAAATATTACAAATGCGACTATCATTGTTGCACTCCAAATTTTCGAGGATTTTGTGCGAGATAGCACACAAAGCGCAAATGGCGGACGGAGCTCAAAACACTCGCTTTTCGTCATCTTTAATTGCGCGCACAGCCCAGAAATTGAATTCGCTGCCTGCGACTGTGTTTCCGAGTACATACAACCCGAGTATATTTAAGATGCGTATCGTAAACCCTATCTTTGTTCTAGGGATAGGTAGTAGTCAAGAGTATGTCCATTTACTTAAACAAGAAACCAATCTCAAAAGTTCATGGAATGGAATTACAAAATGGGGCCACCACAGAGGTAGGGTACTTCTTTCCAACAAACAAAGAATCATCAAAAGAGTTATGGCGTAATATTAATAAAAAATAATACATTACAGTCGAAGTGAGAACCTCCTCCTTTTTTAGTCGGTTACGAAAAGCATTACTTGAAGTTTATCTAACTGCCAGCTTAATTTAATCTGTGCTTACTGCTTAACGATGTCTTTAAAAAGTACCACGGTGAGTTTCATTTAAAGCAAACCTAACAGAAAACCATTTTTCATTCTGAGGTGTCCATTTGAAAGCTTCCTTAAAATGAAAGTTGTTAAAAAGTACTTGCGCTTTTTAAGCTCAGCTGCAAAGCTTTCCATTAGTTTCCTTTGAAATTATGTTCCCTGAGGCGTTGGGAAACCTCTGAGACTTTGTTAATGCACTTGCATTATAGTTTGCCCTGTTGTTCATTTACATTAAATTAACGAAGTAAGTATTTTCTTCACATAGTATTTTTTTATAAAATCTACATTGTTTTTGTAACCATTTTGTCGTAATTGTAAAAAATAAACAAATTGTTACATAAATACAATGTTAGTTACAGACGTTATTAATTTGTTGAGTAATTATTGTCTTTTGTAATTTTTTTCGAAAAACATAAAAATAGTTTCATTTGTTATATTCTGTCTAACTAAACTTTATTCAAGAAAAAAAAACAAAATAATAAAATAATGAGCAAGGTATAATAATAAATGGATAACTTTGCCAATTTCCATATTAAAACTAGTTTTTAATAATTTATTTCCTGTCGTACAGTCAACATCATATCAAGCTATTCACGTTATTTGGCATATCGCCTTCAGTGCCACGGAACCAGATCCGTAAACGTGTAGCTTGATGTGCTGTCGTCTGTAATACAAATGTTTGCACAGTATACTTTTATTATCACTTGAAATAAAGTCATGAATGCAATAAAACAAACGAGTTTTAAAAATAAAAATAATTACTCAAATTTCGATGAAAAGAGAAAAACATTCAAATAATTAAAACTCTAAAGATTAAAAAAAATAATACCCCTTATGGTACTCTGCTAGGGCACAGCAAACAGGGCAAAGAAAAAAAAAACTGTAACATTAAAGTTTACTTCATTTTATTTTCATTCAAGCGATGTGCGCGTATTTATAATAATTACTGAATTAATGTAATTTTTATAATGAAAAAATTATAGACGTTCATATTATAGAGGTCTTTTTTACAAAAAACTTGTTTATTGAACACTTCCAATTCGGATGGGTGTTTGTAACAGAGTTTTATTACTATGGAATCCCATCTCTCACTCCCATTAAAATTCTTGAAACAATTATCTTGTTGTTTCCATGCCCATAAATCACAAATCAATTTCATTTCTTTATTATTTAACTTCACATCCATTACGATTAAAATTCTATAGTAAAATAGGCCCTATTGGGATGAGTATTGTGTATTGTGTTATTTAGTTTTATAGAGACTGTTTTTTAATAACTGTACCTTTTTAATATCATTTAGTTAGCATATTTGTTACAGCTTTCATTTTCCTTTTTTATCATCTCTTATAATAAATCTTGAGAACCGAGCCATCTGCATTCACTTTTCTCTAAGGTTACACAGTTTCCGACAATAGCCACTTACCTGTGCTCTTGCCTGCTCGCCAACCAAGATGACGTCCCTCGTTGCATCATGCAATGGAATATCAGAAATGAACAATCCGCGTCCGGTCAGACCCTCGAGTCCGTCTAAGAAAGGCGAGCCGACGAACAGCAAGGAATCTGATTCCGGACAGAACACCATTTGTCCTTTGATTTCCAGGCCCTGCGAAAGATGAAATTTGTTAATGTTAATAATGAATTTGTTCGTGGAAATTGGTAGCACAGCCATTTTATAGCAAAATTGAGACGCCCTCTAGACGGCCCTGTAATAAATAAGTAACAAAATAACGCCATCTGTGGACCACGACGGAACGATGTGTTTATTAATCGCTCGACTAATGTCAATACGATATGGCACTCCGTCCGTATTTAAGTTTCTACCGTACGAACTACTTACTAGAAGTATAGTATAATAATAAGATAAGTAGTGTGATTTTCGCCTTTCGGCGCGACAATGGCTACACTTTGCTCGGACCGTAGAGTTAGTTGCCTTACATTATTATTTAAGTTGTACCTAAAATTTATACTTAAACACAATTTAAAAAAATTAAGGTTAGGTAATGAAATAAAAAAAGTCGACGTCCAAGTTTTATCATGATATTTTATTTCACCGCAAAGCTCAACGTAAATTTCAAATAGAATTTCGCACATAAATTCCGTGAAACTAATAGGTGCGAGCTAGGATTTGAACTCATGGCCTTGGCTTGACAGGCGGTAGGTCAAACTGTTAGGGTAGCACGGCTTAAATACTGTACTTACATACTGACATTTTTATACCAGCATCGCGGATTAGTACCTCCATTACAGGAGCATGGTTATGAAATAGAAATGAAATGCTGCACAATTCGAAATTTGAAGCACTTATGTTCAAACAACTATAAACAAAACAATAAACACGTCTACTATATGTCATTTTTTAATCATTGAGCGAACGCTTCAATTCTATAAACGATATCGAGTAAATAACCAGAAATGGAGACGAAATGTCATTTAATTTGTTTGAAAACTATTCTGCCATATCATTACTGTGGCAATTGCGCTCCGATTGGCTTGAATTCGTCAAAACAATTGACGGGTGTAGTCAATTGTTTCACTTCAAATCGACCAGTTTACCTAGAGCTTTGCTATAATGGACGAAAATTGTAAAATTACTTACTTAATATTTAATTACCGATGAAACTTGATTCCATTTGTTTTGTAATTAGATATTTTACTGTTTTTCTCCACACCGCCGAATGGAACAGCACGCCGTTATTAGAGATATTATCTTTATTACAATAAATATAGAATATTTTTGGAATATACGGAGACGTACACACAGGTCAGTTGTTGGCGCTGTACTATTTCAGCTTTCTAATTTGTAATAATTTCAGTGCAAATGAGAGTTGATATTTATAAGTGATGTATCACTGATGAGTTACCAGGCATGGATGGCCCTTATCTCATGTCGATGACCCACGCAACGTGAGTGCACTGTGAGATTGTGCGAATGTGTGCATCTGTGCGGCGGGGGTGGGCACATACAAGACGCGCTGCTGTGTATGAGTGGTGTTACCCTACGTATAATTATTATATGTACTATGCTATAAGTCAGTTCATTTGCGGTTAAATCATCTGCAGCGGCAAACCTCAGGCGAATAACCGCAGACTACTTGCTTGTTTTTGCGAAGTTACATGAAATGATTGAGCAATGCAGTGTCGCCGCACGACTGCGGTCTGCCGTGCGAGTTTTTTAGGTAATACCGTGTAGGACTTCGTGTACCCAAATGAAATTGAATATAATCATGTTATCAATTATTTCAACCAGTTGTGAAATAATAACGTAAGTTTATTGCAACGAATCCACTTTTCATAGTAACATGGATCACGTTAAAACGGATTTGAAATGTCACGTGGCGAATTCACAGGGACAGGCCGCACTAAGTTGTTCACTTTAAAAAATAGCTCTCAAAAAAAGCCTACCTTGTCAATGCGCGCTCATTTATAAAGCATCGACCGTCACCTTCACTCCTAATTTTCATATGGAAACCCTGCAAACGATCATGGGACCACGTCAAATGACTGACTAAACTGAACAGATTCATACGACATCAGCGCCACCCACTCTGTCACCTCACCCACTTTGAATTGTCAAACTGAAGTGATTTATCCGCTCACGCGATGCGCTCATCCTACCGCAAAATGGCGGTTATTTTGTTTCGCAAATTAGAAAAGGATTCAGTTTAAATACAAGTTTTTATAAATAAAAATTATTATTCTGCATTGCTAAATAAATACCCTCCGTACTACAACAAAAACATCTCAAATAAAATGCAGTAACACACCGCAAATCCTGCACTTAAAAAGCACTAATGAAATTTTGGTGTACTTGGATAAATATGATAATATTCCGTTTGAGTGGTTCTAACGTTTATCATGAAATTACTCTTAATCACTTAAATAAAGTATAGTTTATAAACATTTATATTCAGGGTAAACTTAAAAAACGCTACTAACGGTATGTTTTCAATAAATAAACACCGAAATCACCAGCCCAAACAATAACACACACGATTGTCGTGACGTATTTTTGAAGTTGTTTATTTTTTTTAAATGACAGACCCAGGCATTAAAAACTTTATGGTTTGCTAGAGTAGTTACCGAAATAGCAATTAGTATTAGTTCATTTACCTGTTATAACTTCGATATCCGATAAATCGGTATAAAATCATCACCGGCACCTCTAGGTGTGGTATGTGTCTACGGCTGCATGTATCGCGTGAGCGGATAAGTAAAAAAAAATCATTATCAAACTAGTTAAGAGTCTATACTACCTCAAATGGCTTTGGTTGATTCCACATAAATTGAGGATAGACATTGATTTATTGTGCGGTGTGAAAACTCAATTCCTAAAAATTTTCACAATAGAAAAGAAACATAAACTTATCTCGAAATTTTACAAGAAAACCGCTGTATTCAATACAATGATATTTTTTTATATCAACTGAACTATATAGAACACGTACGTATACTAAACGATATATATATATATATTTCAAATGGATTTAATTTCGTTTGTACAAAAATGAATTCTGAAATAAAGCCAGTGTCTGTGCCGGCCGACTCGAGTAAAATGAACCCAATTCGAATTTAATTCTCTTCGCTCGAATTCAATTTTTTCCCATACTAATAAGTATGGGAAAAAATTGAATTCGAGCTGAGGTAATATCAACTTTCGTAGAGAGCTTAGTAAATGGTTTATCTAATAATTAGAAAAGAACTTGGAAAAAAAGACATTAGCTAAGATTTATCCTTTTGTAAAGCACATTACATATTATTATTATTAAACCGAATTCTGTTACATTACGTTTGAAGTAGCAACTGGGGGTCTACTCTCGATCTCCGTCTGATATCCGTCCGAAACAATTACTGCCAAATAAGCAATACTTGACCAAATGAAAAGACGCGTGACGCGAATGAAGCTTCATACTTGATACTTGTCTTTTAATTTTGTCGAATATTATTATTTGACAGTAATTGTTTCGGACGGATGTCGGACGGAGATCGAGAGTAGACCCTCTGGTTCCGACATATATATAGTATTTCCAAACAAATTTTCCACTAAATTTGTTTAAAAAGTATATTTAACTAACTTACAAAGTTGAGACTCTGTTATAGAAATTTCAAAGTACAAGCCAATAGCGCAGTTTTAAAAATTAAACAAAAAGTGCATTGTCTGACGGGAGTTACAATCCTGAGTTTCCACATCGTAGTTTGCACAAGGAATTTTCCATTTTCTCGGTTAACTCACAAACAATCCTCTAAAACATTAAACTGGGTAAAACTAGAACTATTCACGTAGTTCCAGACTTGGCTTGACTTGAACAATTGACTTAGTCAACAATACAAGTGCTCAAACATGTGTAGAAGTAAGTACTACATCCAAGTGGCGTCAGGAACATTGCATCCAATCTGATAGAAGATATGTGTGAAACGGAGTGTTAAGTTTTACGGCTAAATACTTCACCGTTCCTATTTTCCACCATTTTACGTGTTCCAGTTGACTTAACGTACATTTGTTTCACTCAGAGAATAAAAATATGGCCTCTTAACTCCGCTGTAGTCTATGCTTTTAAGAGAAATGGACTTTTGTAGAACATTCGAGCGCGTTAAGGAAGGAAACCGACGATTGATTGTACAAGTAAGGTTTGTGTAATCTTGCAGCAGCTTAGAACTGTAAAATACAACAATAACGATGCGGCTCGGCTATAAAGGTGGATAGCAAAAAATAGAAAAAAAAGGAGCGTGGCACACTAGATTCTGATTCCGACATCTATCTTTTTATTTACATACATACATAAGCTCACGCCCCAGTCCCGTAGGAGGGATATACAGAGACTAGTAAGAGCTAGTAAGAGTTATTAAGAGCCGTTCTTTTCACAAATGACATAGGCGATTAACACACTGCACCGCGCCCCGCGACGGAGCGCGGAGCTGCGTTTTTTAACGTTGTACTGAAGTACCTCAGTTTGTATGGAAAACACGCGCCGTCGAACACACTGACAACGCTTCTCCGGCGCGCGCGGTTTTACCGCGACCCCGCGCGGAGGGGCGCGGAGAACCGCAGGGTATGGCACACTGCGCTCCGCACTACCGCGCAGATTTTTAATCAATTTGTGTCTGTTCCAGTAATTGTCGTTCCGATGTTCCCTAACAAACAATCAAAGGATTCAGTTGACATTCGTGTGTAGTTGAAAAATTAATCAATATATTTTCTTAAATCTTTGTAATGAAGTTGAATGTTAGTTTTGGTGTCGTTTTATTTGTGTAAACAAATCGACAGTATAACTGCAACGTCCTGAATGAGTTCTATATTATTAACCATTATTGTCAAAGAAGGATCTCAGCTACATGTGCAATCACTACGGCGATCAACTACGAAGCGAGTGCTTTGAGTGGCGCGGGGCTGCTAGACTGCTGCCCCCGCGCAGATTAAGGGCGCGTTCAAATTAGCCGCTGTTGGCCGCGCGATTGTCACTTTTCATACATTTCTAGAAACGCTGCAACCGCGCGGCGGCCGCGCGGCTGTCGCGCTGCTGCAGCGCGTCTAGAGTTGTATGTCTAATTTGAACGCGCCCTAAACCGCACGCTTGATACCGCGACACCCGCACCGTCGAGGGGGGC